CATGGCACTGATATTAAAGCTATTCCACGATTTGCAGTAGGGTCGTGACTATAGCTAACCCCCTTAGGGATAGGTTGTATAATGCTTTTGTTCCATTGTGATGGCACTACTCCTTTTATAAAACATAGAGATATTATTTTATACATTAAAAACATACATTTTGGATTTTTGATGCTCTCTGCTGGAATCATATCCAGGCCAGCAGCTTTCCTTAATTTTGCATGTAATATGGCTTGTTTCACTTCCATATGTGTAATATCACGATTTAATTCTGGATTGACATTTGGATTTTCATTTGTATTCGATGCATTTAATTCACGTGTTATATTATTCAGATGAATGTCATCAAACATTTGGTCACTGCACTGACCATTATACAACTTATTAAATTCAGAAGCCCAGTGGTTGAGAACAGTATCAGTATCCGTTGATACATTCCCATTAGCATCAATAACTTTAAATGGTATATCCTTATTTCTATCATTTGCTACTCCGATTTTTCCAAATTCCTTCCAAAAATCACGTTGATTGTATTTATCAGTAGCCATATCAAGAAGATCCTGTTGCTCCTGCATTTGATATTTCCTTTTAAACTTACGATGCATACGATCAAAATCTCGACGTTTGTTGCAGAACTCAGCCTTAAGGCGTCGCTTGACAGCTGAAGCACCATTGAATTTCAACCATATTTTTTCCTTTTCGCATGCTGCTTTCCATGTATCTTGTAGTTCTTGACACCAATACGGTTTACGCATGGATTTATTACGCTTAATATTCACACCAAGTTTAATTTTGGGTAGCTTGTTGTTCATTTCAGTTGTAACAAGATCAGCAAATTCTGAATAAGCGAGATTAACCTCAGCATCTAAGTCCGTGGAGTCTTCTAAACGGTTTATAGTATCTGTAATGTGTGTTATGTTTACGTCATTCATGAAATCAGCTGGTATCTTGTTAACATTAGATTTGTATGATATATTTGTTTCCGTAGAATAATCCTCAATAGCGTAATCCAAAAAGGTTGCCCTTAGCAACGAATGATCAGGTAAATTCAGCGGAGCTGGTACATTGTTCAACGATATAACATCTGACATTGTGCATACTTCAAATTTAGACCATTTTAGTATCTGCTCATTGGGCACGAGTATATAATCCACCACCGATTTTCCACGTGTAGATATGTGCGTAAAATTGTTTTTAGTCTGCTCAAATCGTCCATTTAGCATACATAAATTGCAGCTTGTTAAAAAGTCCATAAGGTGATCACCGTATTCATTAGTCACAACATCCAATATGTTGCGCTCTGAAAGGTCATCCACCCCTTGGATATAGTCGAGTTCATTTCCACACCGCGCATTGAAATCGCCTCCAATGCAGAGCTGGCCTTCGTTTTGATACATGTGCACTTGTTGTATAAGGCTATTGAAAAACGTTTCTGCATCGCTTCCCCTGCTGGTATCCTTAGGTGGCAAATAGGCCACGCATAAAACGAGGGCATGCGATTGGTCAATGTTACTACTTTTGGGAGTTAATTTTATCCATAAAATATCCTCTATGGAGTCATCCAAGCGCGTGATGTCAAAACGTGTTGTAATCCGATCATGCACTAAAATTCCGACACCGCCTGATCCTCTGCGTGCATTATTGTTCGTTGTTTTCCTGTTGTTACTAATCCATGTGTATTCAGTATTACGGACGTTCAGTTGATCATTGTTGCGTAAAAAGGTTTCCACAATCATTAAAATATCGACATCATCCATACTATTTAACACATTGTTCCTAAAATTTGAATTATCATTCATATTGCACGACCATCCGCATGTATTCCAACACGCTATATTAATTCCGCGGCAGTTCAACTCACTCGGTCGACACCGGCTATTGTCCTATTGTGGGCCTACTGGGTTGTTATTGTTATTAGCTTGGTTGATTTGGGGCGGATTTATTGGTCCATTGGGTCTAAAACTATTTGGTGTTATTCTACCATTCACGATTTTAAAATCATGTTCTTTTCCACAAGCCTTTAACACTGTATGCAAATTATTTGTCATTTTCATCGTTTCGTGTGACACATAATCATCAACATAAATGTTTGAATACATAGCTGATTGCTTTAGTGTTTTCTTTCTTTCGAAAATCCGGGCCTTATAATATATATAAATTATATTTATGACCTTTTAAAGGTCACAAAAGGTCAACTCTCTTGAGATCTAAGATCGGGTTTAAATCCCTGTCAACACACAGGTAAGGGTTAAAAAGATTTGATCAATTTGAAGCAAATTTGAACTTTTGAAATTTGATTTAGCCTATTTTTAAGTTTCCGAGCTCTAAACTTTCAAAATTGGTTCAAAATTTAATACATTGCCAATGTGTGTAAAACCTTTAAAGGATGTTCTGCGTTTAATTCAGAGATATTAATTTGTAGTGTCAAACTAAGCTTGTATTCGCGAATGCAATTTTCGGCTGTCGCCTACCGGATTAACCTACTATTTTATGGGAAACTCATTTAAATATAAATAGTACCTGCCACTATTCAACTCATAGAAGCCTGGACAGAACAAGTCCCAATATTTACTCTAATTTCTTCGCTTTTGAGAGTTTAAGTCACCACATTTTGCATACATATTCTCTGGGGAACTCCTAACATAGAATTTATTTGGTTTGAATAATTTATTTATTGTATAGGGAAACATTTGATTCTGATTGGTCTACAATCAAAATTTGCCATTGACAAATGCAACATTTTGACGAAATTGATAAAAATCCAAGTTATGAATGAAATATACAATATGGTGTCTATCATCATCCTAGTCTCTGTCATCCTAGTCATCTTTTTGCTTGTCATCAGATCATGCATTGGAAGTGTACTTCAATGAAAAATGCATTCATTGATTGTGGCAAGTACTGAATTGGCAAAACAATGGTGGAAACAAACCATTATTTTCACTGGGGGTATCGTGATGCAACAACACCGTGTTGTTGCATCAAGATGGCCAGCCTTTCGGTGATAGATTTTCGTAAGATACAAGGGTTGTCCACAAAGTTTTGCACAAATATGTCTAATTGTCGAAATCGCTGTTCCCTCTTCAAAAGAGGAGACGCGAAAATCTTTCCTTATAAGGTCAAAATATTTCCCATGATGCAGTTCGCGGAGGAACAAATTTATACTTCCTTGTTTTCCCTTATAGGTTTAACATGGGGATTTTCACACCTATTTTTCAAACGATATATTCGTTCATATCCCCGTACGAGGGTACAGAAAAAATTATTATAAACGATTGATCTCTTATTAATCTTTATATAACAGCTATTTTTTTCATTGTATTGATTCATAGCGTGGTGAAAACGATAATTGAAAAGTGAGAAAATATTCCGGAAGAGAAGGTCACATGATCAGTTGACTAGTCGCCATATTGGAAAAAACAATTCCATTCGACTTTCAATACTTTCATGCCAATCTTACCGCACTACAAACTGCAACATCGATGCAACAACTGAATAAAAGTATTCATCTTCAAATTACATCATAGAGTTACGTTGAAAACCAACACATAACTGAGCAGTAGACCAAAGAAGAAGCGTCGCTATTATCTAGGTCTCTCTGTTCAGTGGTCCGAAAGCAAAGCTATAGTACTCGTTTCCGATTTTGTTGTTAATTGTATGTAATCTTTTATTGATTAAACTCCGTATACTGACTATTAAAGCAATGACAAAGAAGAATACTTCCGATGTTGTCATTGTTTTATTTAGCGTGCGAGTGTAAAACAAAATTGCGTAATTAGTTTGATTTTGAACTTTCGGGTCACGCAAATAGCTACGCGAAATGCATAGTGAGAAAATATTGACCAATCAAATTTTTTCCTTTTTGAGTGCTTTTTCAGTACATATTTGCGAACGTTCTGATTCAAAGAGCGAATCGCGAAATGTAGAATTGTGAGAATAATGGACCAATCTTGTTCATAGTTGGTATGTATGTGTCCATATCTTATTCCCTTACACTGTCAATGTTTCATGTATATACGCTTACTACTTAACATTTTACAGTTGCTATAATAACCACGATGATGACGCTATGGTCCATATCATTTTGTAAAAGATAACTAGTAACACATAAAGATCAATGTTCCTTATATAGCATGCTAAATTAACTTTCATAAACTGTCAATTTAAATTTAAACAAGTATTGTTCTCATGGAAAATGTGAATCTTATCTCATTATTTCCCAACTTGTTTTCTTTGGTTATGTAAAAGAATGACCATAAACATACTCTTCAAACATCTTGAACAAATCACCTGATTTTGTGACGTTATCAAAGTTATCGTGTAACTTTCATGTAATACAGGAGAATATGGCTCGGAATAATAAAGTTGGAGCAGAAAACATTGATAGAATACATGATAAAGAAGGGGGAAATAGCATAACACAAGTTATATTAATTCATGATTAAGATATATTGCATGTGATGACTCCAATAGGATTTGCTAAGTATTCCAAGATGGAATAAGAGAAGGGAAATGTATTGAGGGTAGCTGTAGTTATGAGAGGGCTTGATATTCTATATCCTTTCAACCTATTGTAATTGAAGAAAAAATTGAGAAAATTTGGAGGTATTGGAAATTACGTTTCAGTCAATAATACATTAAGAATTTTCATCGCAGGTTAAGTAAATACAAAATTAACACGTTGGTCAATGGGGGAGCGGGTGCTCACAACCTATCTACATACTTTCTCATTGACGTTGACCTAATTTTCACCAAAACTGCAATTATTTTCACGATGTTTAGTTAATGTCTTACTATTCTTTATTTCAATGTATCAGTAAGTTCTTGAAAGGAAAACTGAATTGATCTAGTTTAGAAAAAATAAGATTCATTATAAATAAAAAAGTAAGTATCACTACACAAGAAAACAATTAATTGTCCTTATCTGACCACTTTAGAAGAGCAGCTATTATTTAAGAGGTAAATAAATTATACATACATACGACAATACATGCACTTACCAATGCAACGGCCTTCAGTACATTTTAATTTTCCACCTTTACAGCAATCCTCATCCTCCACACATGGCCCACGCTCAGGCACACAGCATATACTTTCTTTGCATAGTAAACTGGTACCCTGTAAACCATCGCAGCATTCCCCCTCTGATCTACAACCTCGTTGTTGTACTTCTTTACATTCTATAGGTCTAGGGGTATACGATGGTCTTTTTGTCACCTCTGCGAATTTTATTAAAATTTCGATGTTATTGTTATGTAAATCCTTTTTAAGAAAATGACGTATCGAGTCAGAAGTGGCTCGTAATTCAATATTGCAAATTTATTTGAATATGCATAAATACTAATATTCGAAATAATGTTTAAAACATAAATGAACATTGGGAAAGTTGAGATTCAAATAGAACAAAGCATCAAATAGCAAATTCAAAATCAAATATGACAGCAAATTTCTGAACTTTATTCATTTTTCTTGATAGATTTTTTTGATACTTTCTAGAAGAACTTAAACGGTATTCTGCAGTCTCGTTATATTTTGCTGTTCGAACATTTTCATACGCAAATCCTAGCAATCCGATTCACTCAGCAGACTCTAATTAAAAAAGGACATCATAACACATGCGCATGACCCATCTGACAAATATAATTTCGAACCAAATTTGCTTCCGATTTTCCTGGTGAATCATTTTGGTTAAATATTCGGATGCTTCAGATTTGAACTTTTGAATCTAGAATGCATGAAGTATAGGCCTATTATTGGATATTTGGGTTTCAAACCCGAACTTCAGAATGCTGTGAGTCGAAAATCAAATACGCAGCAGATAAATTCATGTCGTGCAATGTACAATTTGAAGTAACAAATACTGAATATATGGGCGCAAATACCAAAGGGAACGGGCAAAAAACTGCAAAGAAACCTAGTTAGAAAACTCGAAGTTTGCACCTGTCATAAGAAAAATAGAACCTTTATGTCTCAAAAGCATGATCTAACATGAACATAAATGATGTCTAAATAACATCCCCATCCCCCTCCAATCGAGAATCAATATAACAATCCAGAACCAGAACACCAATGGGACATTTCATTCATACTGAAGTCATAACAATACATGTTGAGAATCCAGTCTCGAAGTCCATAGGCAATTCAAAATGAAGATTTTAGAATGTAGATTTTTTTAGATAAGACATACTGACAAGTTTTTTCTAATATGACATCATACACTATAGAACAAAAAGTGAACACATACTCGTTTTACATTTATGATTGATATTTAATCGACAATTGCAATACCTTTCAATGCGGCAGCAGTTTGTTTACAATTTTTATCATAAGTCCTGCATGGGTTGACCCTAGTAGAGTTGTTCTTGAATCTCTTCACAAAGCTCCTGGGGACTGACCCCCCACCTTCACACTTCCTATGTGACCAATTACGACGAGCCGTACAGAAATAGTAATGACAATTACTTTCATCGTCAGGAGTAAATTCTCCATATCTGTTAGCGGTGCACTCTGGAAGAAAAATAGAATTGAGTTAAAACTATTCTTCTGTCCAGTAGATGTCTTTCACCGGCTCATGTGATGCACTTCTTTTTCCACGTGCAAATTGTTTGATTATTAGTTCGACATTGATGATCCCTTAATTCCTGTCTATATACAGACCATTGAAGTAATCAATTTCTCCTAAACTAGACAAGTGCCATCAATGAAATTTTGCATACACTGGAACAGTTATATGGAAATTTGTTACTGAAGGTTTCAATACAAGCATTCAACTGGTTCAGGAGCTATGATCATTTACATAACATGCTCCAAATAGGCACATTTGAGACCAACGCAGAGTTGGATTCATATGGCAAACTACCCTTACATGTTCTGCCCTCTATGGCATTATTATGGCATTACATATAGCAGTGATTGCCTTCTTTAGGTCAACAATAGTCTGAGGATTGTTTTGGTATAGATTGTCTTTCAAATATCCATACAAAAAGAAATCAGCAGGATTCAAGTCTAGGCTGTAATGGCAATGAAGGGTTATCTGACATGTGGTTCATCATCCTGTTGCCAAAGTGCTGATTTACCCAATCTTAAGAGTCACTTTAGGTATTGGGCATAGTGCCATGTTACTAAAACCACTATATGGCACAATTAAATCCCATATGGAAACCAAGGGCTGCCCAAAACCTCCTTAGGATGATACTGTAACTGAGTGGGACCACTGAGTCAGAAGCCATAGGTCAGATAAGCTTCGTCTCCATACACCTCAAATTTGAATCCACCTGATTTCTTTTTGTGGGGCAATTTGAAAGACAATGTGTACCAAAACAATCCTGAGACAATTGCTGACCTAAAGGTGGCAATAAATGCTAAATGTAATGCCATAACAAGGTCGGAATATGTAAGGGTATTTGCCAAATGTATCCAGCTCTGCGTTGGTCTCAATTGCGCCTATTTGGAGCATGTTATGTAAATGATCATAGCTCCTGAACCAGTTGACTGCTTGTATTGACACTTTCAGGAACAAATTTCCATAGAACTGTCCTGATGTATGCAAAATTTCATTGATGTCACTAGTCTATTTTGAGATATTGCCTATTTCAATGGTCTCCTTTTTTTCCGGTCACCCTGTAAATCATTAAGTGTTTATTTTATAATTTCTAAATTTCCCCCAATTGGATTTAGATTCATTCCTTGATTGTGTAACACATACCCTAAATCGTATTAAAACGAAAAGTGGCCATCTTGGATTTCCATATAGAGTAATCCTTTGATAACAGAAAAAATAATTCGTATCTATATTGCATCGCGAAAATGCTGAAATTGACCCTTGAAATACTATTATTATTATCTACAGGGTAAATTTCTAAACAGATTTTCAGAGATTTTGAGGATCAACTATGTGAGGTTATTTATTACCCATGCAAACGTGAAGATGATTAGACAATTAGCTTTTGAGATATAGCCATGTATCATAGTACCCAAAATTGAGTGGATTTTTATGTGCCACATTGGGGTGATAGAATGGTCATGTTTATGGAGTAAAACATCTCCCGAACCAAACCAATTTTGCTATACACAATCAACCTGGCGTTAAATGTTTTGATAAAATGCTTTGTTCAATGAAGTTTGGTTCTCAGGGGAGTTGTTATTTTTCTAGTCTTATTTTGTGATGGTACCAATTTCGAAAATCTTTAAACGTTTCAAAATGTTGACCATCGAATTGTTCAATGAAGTTTGGTTCTCAGGGGAGTTGTTATTTTTCTAGTCTTATTTTGTGATGGTACCAATTTCGAAAATCTTCAAACGTTTCAAAATGTTGACCATCGAATATATAAAATGCTTTGTTCAATAAAGTTTGGTTCTCAGGGGAGTTGTTATTTTTCTAGTCTTATTTTGTGATGGTACCAATTTTGAAAATCTTCAAACGTTTCAAAATGTTGACCATCGAATATTACGAGCCAAAGACACTTTATTACAAGACACAGCACAACCCGTAGGTATCAGACATTTGCTGGAATTTGGATATTTTAGGGCTTCAACTGCTTACTATTTGTTCTCCCCTAACCCCATTTTTTCAAGTTCACTAATTTGATGTTAATGCCGTTGCTAGGTGCTAGGTTGCTTTTGCAAAACTTGCTATCTTTGAAAGTGCATATAAGTTCAGTTCTACAAAAGCTTGATTTTATTTTATTTGAAAGATAACAGATTAAATCTTTTAGGAAGCGTTGTCACAGGCTGGTATCGAAAGATTTGTCCGCTGTGACGGAGCATGCTATTTTTCATAAAAACACTAAGAATGCTTCACGATTTATTTTTTAACTCATATGTTTCGTTATATCAAAGATAATTACTTACTCCAAGCAATGGATATATCATTTGCGTGTAACCTTCACTTCTGTTTGAAGTCCAATAACGCTAGGAGTAAAATCTATTGAAAACGGCGCCAGAGTATCAAACTCTAAAATGAACCATTTCTTTTTTAACTTTTTAATGGCATGATATAGTGACACGATAATATTAACATATGTTTTCAGCATAACTCTGGATGTATTAATGAGATATTAATGCATTGGGTCTTTTTAATTTTTTTATAAAAAATAATATTGATATTTTTTGTCCGCTGTGACGGAGCATTTTCACAGTTCACATTTGCAACTGCTCCGTCAAAGTGGACAAAAAAATTAAACATTATTTTTTATAAAAGAATTAAAAAGACCAAATACATCAACATCTCATTTATACCTTCATAGTTATGCTGAAACCATGTGTAAATATTATCGTGTCACTATATCGTGCTGTTAGAAAGTTAAACAAGAAATGGTACATTTTGAAGTATGATACTCCGGCGCCATTTTCAATAGCTTTTCTTCCCAGCGTAATTGGACTTCAAACAGAAGTGAAAGCTACCCGCAAATGATATATCCATTGCATGGAGTAAGTAATTTTGTATGGTATAACGAAACATATGAGTTAAAAAATAAATCGTGAAATATTCTTAGTGTTTTTATGAAAAATAGCATGCTCCGTCACGGACAAATATTTCGATACCAGCCTGTGGTTGTAGCATTTGTGGAATCCCAAAAAATTATTACACCCCCATGTTACGTTGATATCGATTTGACCTATGTTGACCTACTAATGACCCCCCTTGCGACTTAGTGTCGCAGACATCAGGGTTATACGGCTCCTCCACTTTACCCGATGTAAAGACATAGCCATGACTGCATACAAAATATAATTCATTGCGCCAGTCTCACCATGACTCATTTATAGACTTATTTGAAGCGTTTAAACAAGTTAGGAAAAGTTTCCTTTACATACCAGGAATACAAAGGTGAAGTGGTATGTTCATATTTTAAAGAAAAAATAGGGTCCATAACATCATTAATAGTACTATGTTGAAAAATTCAAAGACGAATCATGGAATAGCAGCAATTAGATGCAGTTCTTAATGTACTTACCAAAATTCGGAAAGTCAGCATTACAAAAAGTGATGTACAATGCACAAATAATAGGTATGAATACTAATCCAACACGTGTTTTCATTTTGTTTTATTTCCCTATTGTGCTGATACACTATCAGCTCGATTTAAGATTCATTAATTCTGTTAATCACGCCTAACCATCGACAACATACAGTGACAAAATATACCGTCGTACACTGTACGTAGGTTTTCAAAAATTAATTTGAGGAATACATTTCAAGGGATTCATGTTTGATTTCGTGTGTATTCGATTTGAAAGACATTTACCTTTCTAATTACGTTAAAAGATTTTCGAGCAGTGCTCGATTTTTTTCGTTGTTAATCTACCCATGTAATTGGTTGGTTGGAAAATTGTGTTATTTTTACACATTTCCTTTGATCGTTTTCTCCCCTGTCGTCTAAGAGTGCCGAATTTTTTTTATGAGAATATGTTTCTCTAAACTACACAATTTAAGACAATTGAAGGTTTAATAAATATTCATGACTTTGGTATAATTCAAAAAATGAAAAATGTACGTTGTCATCTCCAATGAACCTTGTCCCGGTAATTGAAATGCATGAGATATAATATTAAACAATGCAATGATTTAATTTCAAAACGCATTAAGGGTTTTATGAGTAACAAGTGATGTTTAACGAACATGTTCATGTATCCCTGGTACAGATTAACAAATAAAAGTGACTTTTTACTCTTTGTTGAATGCTATTTTATTCTATGAAAGTGTTGATATGGTGATTAATATTTGACCATTGGGTGCTATCTTCCAACCTCTTTGACCATTCTGCATCGGTACGTTACGTTATGTTATGTTGCACGTTTATGAATTTTAATAATCTTAAGGAGTTCATGGAGAGATCTATACTAGGTCATCGAAGATGACTTTCAAAAGTTTATGCTATATCTGGAAAGTGCTGAAGTTCAAAGGTTCTAGGTTAAATAAAGTTGAAGTAATACTGTTATTGTTCATTTTCAGATGAATGATTTAATTTGTATTTTCTGTAAATCTTATGTCCTTGTTTTGTTTTGGCGTATGCTTTCAATGTTTATTTTTATACATACCGTTTAATTAGCTTTCTTGCAATATGTGATTTGAGTACCACTTCTTCTAAGCATCACCGTTTGATAGTAGCTATGTAAGAGGGGAAACTATCGCAAATTTATTTGCATAGAATTCAAGTACAAACCAATAACAATATAAGTATATTTTATTTATAGGTTATTGTTATTTATTTCCATATTATTCAACATAATTATTTACATAGATTGTGATCGGCCGAGGCTATATAGCATTATTGGCCCCCCTCTAGAAAGAGATAGTTGAAGGCATTTTGCATTCAGTTCTTTATTTAAATTTTCATCTCCATAAAGTATAAATTCTATTTTTTGCTTTCTGGTTTTTCCCAAAATAGCACATAATATCAAGATTATCTAACTTCATGATGTTCTGTATGTAATCATTTCTATGTATGTATTGACGGGTCGCAAAAAGCTCGCGCACGCATTGTTACACATTTTGTGGCGTAATCCAGAGGATCCTCGCTTTTAACATGATAGAATGTGACGCTTTTGAGAAAAATGTACACACATGAAAATCCTTTCGTCCTCCACATTTACCTCTATATCTCAAAACATTTTAGACGAATAACTCTGATATCATATATATATTGTTACTGGGCTAGGAGCATCATAAAACACGAATCAATTGATATTTTAGGTGAAATAAATATACGTGTTGCTGTGCTTGAAAATAGGCGAATGGCGTAAATTAGCCCTATTTTAATGAATTTTGAAAACCTTTCGTCCTCCACTTTTCCACATACAACAGAAAACACATACTTTTGTGAACAAAATCAACTAATTATTAATAAACTAGAGTTTAGGAGCAAAATAATCATGTATGATTTATTAAAAATTGATCTCGTATTTTTTGTTTAATGTACACCTGAAAAGTTGAAGGTACTAAAAAATGAGCAAAAAAGGTCGCTGTCAACAGATTCTATTTTTCAGACTCTATGACGTCACAATATGGGACGCATACTAAAATTCATCCTTTGAAATAAAACTTCCATCTACCTTTATCAAGACGAAAAATAAGTATAATAGTCATATATTATTTGAGTTATGAGCGTTTAAAGACGAAAAATAATTCAAAATGTAACGTGTCAACATGGGATATTTGCCAGATGTTTTGGTAAAAAACTCTTTTTTAAAAACGAACGCGCAAAAAATGTGAACGGAGTGTAGTTGATCTAAAATCTTCATCGAAACAGCTTTAAAATGATATATAACTTTAATTAGAATATTATCTTATATTCCGGTGAATCAAAGTTACATTCACGCGATACCCTTAAAAAACAAATGCGCCACCTTTTTGCGACACGTCATTGTATTGTATTGTATTCTCCAAATTGAGATAGGCTTTATGGCTGGTGAATTTGAATATTTCACGGACGCTCTCACGGGTAAAACATATTCTATTCTGGAACAGAGCTCCCTTTAGGCACCAGGATTGGACAGTTTTTCATATATAGAAACTACATAAGATCTTATGTAGTTTCTATATATGAAAAACTGTCCCCTCTAGAGGGGGTCAAATTTGATCGGACTTTGAACATGTGAATACTTTGTTTTTCTTCTCTTCTCTCCGCTAGGGGTTTCCATATAATTTTTGCTTACATGTACCATGAATCGCCCCGGAAACTATTAGGGCTGCTCTATAATGGAGTTTGTCAAGTTGTTTCAGTGCACCTTGCGACGCAGAACCATAGATTAAAGAGCAGTGTTCAATTTTAGAGAGGATGAAAGAAGTATACATTGTTTCAAGATGTTTTGAGTTTACTCTCATTTTCAATGCTGACAGGGGATTTAGTAGTTTGTCAATTTTTGCTCGGACTTCGTTTATATGAGTTTTAAAGTTCAAGTTTTTATCGAGAGTTACGCCTAAATGTTTATGTGAATCGACTCGGTCTATTGAGTTATTATTAAGTGTCAAAAGTGGATATGGTCTTTCATAGACGGTTTCTTTACAAAATATTATTTCTTTTGATTTCGAAGGCTTGAAGTTCATTTTCCAAGCTTGGGACCATTTAAAAATATTATCGAGATCTTTTTGGAGGATTTCATGAGTGTTCTCAATTGGATTATTTCTGGGTACAGGTAAGTAGATGGAGGTGTCGTCTGCATAAATGTAAGATGTTGAGTCGATAACTTCCTGTAAATCATTAATATATAGTAAAAAAAGGATTGGCCCAATTTGGCTCCCTTGAGGCACCCCACTGTTTATGTAATTGTCTTCTGATCAATTTGATAAGATTCCGTTTACTCTAGTTTGAACTTTTCAATTTTTAAGATATGAGCTTATGAGGTTCAAAGTGTCGATGCCGAAACCATATTATTTCAGTTTATGTGTCAAAAGGGCATGCGGGACTTTGTCAAAGGCTGATTCTACGTCAAGGAAAATTCCTCTGACGTCACAGTTGCGGTCAAAAGATTCATTAATAAAATTTGTAATTGCCATATTAAGTTGGAAATCTGTGCTATGACCGGGTAAAAAACCCAATAAAGTAAATTGTTTTCAAGGAGATGGGTCAAAATTCTATTTTGGATAACTTTCTCAAATACTTTGGATATTGTATTTAATAATGAAACTGGACGGTAATTTGCTTTATCTGTAAAAGTAAATCTTCACAGGGTGTTTACAAAATTAAGCGTGACAGTTGAGCGCGTGGGGTAAGGTACAACGCAAGGGTGATGCAAATTGAGCTACCTGCATGATGTTTTCGTCTGTATTTTAATGTAATAAGATATACTTTTATGAATTTTAATAATCCGTTTATGCTAAATCTGGAAAGTGCGGAGATTCAATATAGTTCAATCAAGCCGAATTAGTAATACTGTGGTTTTTTCCGTTTAAGTTTTAAATGAATCTGATCCCCCTACCCCTTAGTGTAATGAAAAATACGTTGACTATATTAGGATTAACTGTGAATTCAGATATGTAAGTTCAATGGCACAACGTACATCGAGATGACAACGTACACTTATGATTTTTTATTTTTATTATTTTGGCAAAAACATGAATATATATTAAATCTTCAACCGACCCTAATTATGTAACTTGGGGAAACATATTCTGATGAAAATAATCGACACTCCTAAGCGACAACACTTAAGATGACCAAAGGAAATGTGACGAAAACCTCACGAAAACCAACGAAAAAACTCGAGTATTGCTCGGAAACTATTTAACATAATTAGAAAGGTAAATGTCTTCCAAATCGAATACACGCGAAATTAAACATGAAATCCTTTAAGTATTCCACAGATTAATTTTTTAAACCTTAATCACACCCACGTCATAGTTTTTGCTTCATATCAGTTAGAATAGTGACACCGTACATCTAAAGTGTACGACGGCGTGTTTTGTCACTGAACGTTGTCGATGGTTAGGCGTGTTGATAGAAAAACAAAATACTGCATAATATGGTTGATGGATTACGAAAACATTACTTATGTGACACACATGAGTAATGAGTTTTGATGAGACAACGGTTAACGAGGCGTATAGCCTGTTTATTTTTCCGTGAAGCCACTCCGACTGACTGACTTAATTCATGACTGAAATCGGAAAGACAAAACTTGAGATTCACAAACAAAATTGCTTGTGAAAACTATTGACAAAGGTGTTCCAGAGACTTTAATCTACTTGGTTAAGGTTTAATTTGAAGATACATTGCCGACACGGAAGCAAATGCTATGTTGAAAAATGTATATTTCAGTTTGAACATGTTATTACATGTCACGTAGGCCAGTGTTTTATATGGGGATTATTTGTACTTTACTTGCTAATATGAACGTAAATCATTACATGGAATCTGCAGTCTTCCGGGTTTTATCTGGGTTTGTATTGTCTTGTTGGGTCTTTTGGACTTTTGGAAAAAAATCTTACGCAAAAGATTTGTGTCTCGGGAACATTTTTGTAAATAGTTATCACGTTGTCGAACCAAAACGCTCTTACATGCATGACGGAGCGTTTCATTCACGCGGAAACGCTGCGAAGCGAAATAAAATGGCGGCTAATGAAGATCCCATAACCGTAAGTATTGTTTCACTCGTTTCTGTTACATATCATACGTTATGGTGACATATTATGTACCATTCGATGAACAATACCCTGAGCAAAGATCTTATTTATTCAACTTTTGGTGGTAAACTGTTATTTGCTTGATCAAAACTCCGTAGTGTAGATCGAATGAATCTGAAGTTGACGAATTGACCATAAATTACGAATTTAACTAGTATTTATGAAAACGTCAATCTTTCTGTTAGAATAGTAGATCACAAATTTGTATATTCTCATTTTCGAAAATCCCAGTCCAAATCCATTACTTGTTCTCGAGAAATCGCTTGTTTTCCTCGAAACGCTCCGTCGATTTAGGACACAATTTTAGAAACGCTCTTACCATTTTGTTTTGATATTATTTTCAGATTATTAGAGAAGAGTTCGGAATCGAATCTGTCTCTCAAAAACGTGTTGTACTTGCAAATTGAAACGTCCCAACCTGGTGATGCTAAACGTGCGACTAGCCGACCTAAGCAAACATTATATGATGTTATGCCTTAATAGTATAGTAGGAACAAGGGGTTCCCATGCACCCATAAGGTGTGAATAAGTTACATACATTTTTGTAATCCCTAGGGTGTCTATTTAATGAATTCATTTGTTAACATTGCCAACTAATGTCCCATAGTACTTTTATGGCGGCATTCAGTCACCATGGTTACGCATCTTTAGACATCTTACCTTGGTATCTTAAATCATTTGTAGCTCTGTCATTATTTTGTCTATAGAAATGATATCGGTACCAAATTGAACCTCGTTAAATTTTCAAAAATTTCTGATATTCAATAATGCAAATTATCTAATTTGCATAAATTATGATGTCATCAATCTATTTTTGGTTCAGAATTTCCAACTATAGCAACGTATCTATTAGAACTGAGGCCGTATGGCAAAATTTCTGAAAGGTTTTGTCCTTTATTCTATTAGTAGAAGGTATAAGCAACATAAAAGTGAAAACAGATTCAAAATTGAATCAGTATTACGAAAGTTATGTAACTTTCGAGGCAGCTATCGTGAATGTCATTATTTGACAATAATATACATACATCTTACCTCGGAGTCTTGAATCAATGTAGCTTCGCCATTATTTGGTCTATGGAGATGATATTGGTATTTGATTAAACCTTATTAAATTTACTATATGGTTACAATATTCAGTTATGCAAATTAGCTAATTTGCATTTATTGTGACGTCATCAATCCATTTTTGGTTCAGAATATCCTAGTATAGCAACATACATGTATCTATTAGAACTGAGGCCGTATGACAGAATGTGTGCATAGTTTTGTCCCTTATTTGATGAGTGGAAGATATAAGCAACATTAAAGAGACAACAAATCTTCAAAATTGGATCAGAATTAACAAAATTATCCAGCTTTGGAGGCAGCTACTGTGAACGTCATTGTTTGACAATTATAAAAATAATATTAAATTAACAAAAAAGTAACAACCATAGTTGTTTCAATCTTATTGAGTAAAAATGTGCATGTATTGAACTGAACTAATAAGTATGTGGAAAGGTTACATGTATTTTGACTATCATTCACAGGGGTCAAAACGGTTATCTCGACCCTGTATATTAAAGATCCAATTTTATAATTTACCATGCACTTTCAATGATTCATGTAAATAGTATACATATAGTCTGATTTTCATCATATTCTTCATATTCTTGATTCTTAAAGTATCTGAAGTATAAAGCATGATTAGAAGTGAAGATGATTCATCATATGGTTTATGTAATATTTCTAACATTTCAGATGCTATGGTAACATCACTTCGAGGGTTTCATGCAAAAAGGTGCCAACTACATTTTTATCAAAAATGAGTTATTGATACCAGGCTATAGAACAAAACATAAGCTATGTAATGGTATACTTTAATTCTCTCAATATGATATATAACTTGATATAATGTTGCATAACAAAAGGTTCTATCCAACTATGAACAGTTTCTTCCATGCAAAAAGGTGCTAAGTCATTTTTACCTCCCGCAAAAAGGTTCTATGTTATCAATGGAACCTTTTTGAATGTCAACAAAAGTCACTTATTAAAACCTACTTTGACTTGGGCCCTTTTATATTTCACTGTCTATATGTTTTATGTGTTTGTCTGTTTCTTTGTCTGTCTGGGATTTAGTTGATTTAATAGGATCACTGTGTATACTACAGTTTTATCTGTGTAGACCATGCATTTTAATATATTCCTAGCCACAACAGTGACCAATTATACCCTATTATTCAAATATTGAAGCCTAATGGCTGTGATTTTGTAATGACTTAGTCGTATCCCATTAATACCTAATGCAGAGATTACTAGATTAACATCATTGAACAATATGATACTAGAACTCTAGATGATACCATGAGATGTTCGACTGGCCACAGACTAACCTTATAATGTATATAAGGAATCGACAAAGGATGATGCCTCAGAACCACCAGTCACTGTAACCAAATAATAGAACCTTCGCTTGACACATCCCAAATATTAGCAGCTTTGGAATCATGTTCCCCAAAATTGGAACCTTGTAGTGATGACTTCCCATTATCGCCAGGTTTTGAATTATTTCCCAAAACAATGGAACCTCGGAGTGACGCCACCTATATATCATCTACTACTCCAACAGATCCCCAAATAATGGCATCCGAGAGTGATGATGCCCCATTGTCAATCATCAGCAAAACAGGTAACCAAATAGTCGAACCTCAGAGTGACAATGTGCCGATATCAACAGCTACTGTAAAATAACCTCAGATAATGAATCCCATGAATGTCAACGCCTCAATGTCACCATACACCGAAACAGGCCATCAAATAAAGGAACCCACTACTGATGGTCCCCAACTATTCCCACCCACAGAAAATGATCCCCAAGTGTCTCAACATACAAGAGCAGATTCCAAAACAATATCCAAGCAAGGTATATCAGTTTCCCCCAAAATAAAGCCGAGTGTGAGTGATACAAATACTTTCAATGAATCAGACAATGAGCCACTTGCTAACCTGCTATATCATGATATAGAATCACCTTTAGATGACTCTTATAATGATTCAGACTACGCCCACCAAGGTATGACTCATCAGATTCATCATCAAATTCATCTGAGCTGATAGATATGGAGCTTTCAGATGAGGAAATTGAAGCCTACAAACCTCATCATGAACCAAGAACCAATATGAAACGAAGGAAAATAGAACATCAGACAAAGACATACTCGATTAAAAGACACAAATGTGTCCGTACGCTGAAACAACCTAACAGCCCAGGCAGAACAGACATGGCCCAAGCTCTAAGAAGAAGCAGAGACGACGCTGAAAGGCATGATAAAATTGTTAATGCACATACAAATAATCTACATGGAGTTTGTTCCAGAAGGTGAATCTTATTCTAAAGTAGTACAAGACCTTAGATCATCCTGGACTGCACTAGCGGGTGATTTCCTTCCTTTAGCAGTAGCAAAGATGTTTCAAGTAAATCTCACTATATTCACCACAAAAAAAGATCAGCCAATTATAAACTTCTCCCCAAATATGGGAATTCAAACCTCATCTCCAATAAAGGGTCAATCTCCAGGATACAATCTAACATATCTAGCAGTACCAGGCCATGGACATTATGATTTAAGTGTGCCTTTTCATGAGTCAACTGCATCATTCTCAAAGAAAAGTACCAAACCAAAAGAAAAACAACATGTTTCACCAACAAATGAAACGTTCATGGAGAACCAATCCGAGAAGATAGAAGTTATCCAAGATGACAAGGAAAGTACCAAACCAACAGAAAAACAGCATCTTTCACCAACAAATGAAACGTTCATGGAGAACCAATCTGAGAGGGTAGAAGTTATCCAAGATGACAAGGAAAGTACCAAACCAACAGAAAAACAGCATGTTTCACCAACAAATGAAACATTCATGGAGAACCAATCCGAGAAGATAGAAGTTATCCAAGATGACAAGGAAAGTACCAAACAAACAGAAAAACAGCATCTTTCACCAACAAATGAAACGTTCATGGAGAACCAATCTGAGAGGGTAGAAGTTATCCAAGATGACAAGGAAAGTACCAAACCAACAGAAAAACAGCATGTTTCACCAACAAATGAAACGTTCATGGAGAACCAATCTGAGAGGGTAGAAGTTATCCAAGATGACAAGGAAAGTACCAAACCAACAGAAAAACAGCATGTTTCATCAACAATTGAAACGTTCATGGAGAACCAATCTGAGAGGGTAGAAGTTATCCAAGATGACAAGGGTCAGAATCTCTCTGTTAATTTAACACCAAGAAAGGGAGCTACTTACAGAAGTCCAAAGAAGAAAAAACTAACCAGGGCAAGGGCAAAGTCGAAGCCAGAAACCTGGAAACGAAATGTAAACAAAGCTAATCGGCTAGCAGGACTCAAAGGGACAGAAAATAGATGAGAGGTCTGTCAAACCAATTGATTGTTCATCTTGTAGATATCACTGCAATGAGAAAATAAGTCAAAAATCAAGGGAATCAATATTCAGGGAATTTCGCTCAATGGATTCCAATAAACAACAAAAAGATTATATATGCTCCCTCATAATTCAGAATCCAACAAAGAAAAACAAATGTGCCACATGTAAAGGCCAGTATAGTACAAGAAAGGCAAATTCGAGGGTGTACAGATTATACAATGGAGAAGGTCATCCTGAACGTGAATGTAAAGAGATGTTCCTGAGTACATGTCATTAACCATTTCCCACAAAACTGTTGACAACACCCTGCAGAACAAAGCATTTGGAAAATATGTTGGAACAGATAAAAGAGGAAAGAATGCGTCATATAACAAAACACCAGAAAAAAGCATCACTGATGTCAAGAATCATATTGAAGCATTTCCAAAGATGGCTTCACACTACACTAGAAAGGATTCTCATATCAGAAAAATGCACGAGTTATATGTTGAGAGATGCCGAATGAATGAAACAAATCCAGTGAGCGAACGTATGCACAGAAAGATTTTCACAGAAAACTATAATCTTTCATTTTATAAACCAAAGAAAGATCAATGTCATATCTGCATGCACACTAATTTTGATCTCACTCAACCAGAACAAGGAGAGGAAAGCCATAAAAAATACAATAAACATATCCAACAAAAAGAACGAGCAAGGAAAGAAAAAACAGTAGATAAGGAACGAGCGAAAAAAGATTCTACTTTCCATGCCATGACATTTGACAGGGAAGCAGTTCTTGCTACACCATGTGGGAGAGTATCTCAAATCTTTTAAAAACGGAAGCTTGCTTCTTACAACCTGTCTGTATATTCACTGGGGGAGGGAAGCTGTTACCTGTGGGACGAAACAAACGGACAGAGGGGCTCAAACGAAGTTGGGACTTGTCTGATCCAGTATATAAATATATAAGCCTTAAACGTATACTAAAATTATATTTTGGTAATCATGATGATTGGTATACAGTTGGTATAGTATCATGAATGTCATAATCACAGATAAAATGTCGCTACATACATATATACCTGTAGCACACAAAGATATAACATTGAGATAAATCGTGAAAATAGACAAAATGCACTACCTATTTAGTAAAAACAAGTTATTTTGTTTGTAAACGATGTGTTAATGTTAAATATGAAGTAGTTATCTTGCAGATGCAGTTACAGAACCATTCTATACAAAGCATGACACAAGAATTGATTTAAACATGTTCCCGCACCAAAGTTCTATAATGTTATGGAACCTTTCTGCATTGGTAACACAACATGAATATTCAAAATAGTCCCTGCATAAAAGTGCTATTAGTTACATAGAACCTTTTTGCACAAATATTTTTTCAAATTTTACACATCGCTGTTCAAGAGCCAAAGTGTTCTATGTCACTTTTTGGCCAAAATGAGATAAATGTGGATTCCCCCTAATTTGACGATGCTCTTTCCATCTAGCATGGTCTCAAGTGTGAAATATAGCTGTAAACATGTGATTTTCAGTATTCAATTGTTCTATGTCTGGAAAAACAGTTATCCCAAATGAACTAAATTATCCTATGTCAAGATCTCAGAAAACTGTAAAAGTTGATTTGTTCTATCTCATCCAGCCAATCAAAGATTGTGTTTTAGTCACATGACAGCTTAAGAATTTTACTCACATGGCAGCCATGACAGCAGAATTGATGAGTTTTGGTAAGGATATACTTCATTTTAGACATTATGAGCTCTCATTAGTTAATAATTTGATAAATATGTATACTTCTGTTGACTTTCCTCTCACAAAAGTGTAAATTATACATATGTTTATGGTTTTTTTGAGTATTAAAGATGAATTTGGAGTTAGAACAATCTAACACTGCTCCAATGAACCATTCTATTACAGAAAAATCAATATAATAAGGTTTTATTTCTTATCCAATCTAGCTTTGAATGGACATTTTATATTTACAGTGACAATTATATGGAGGCAGAACTGAGAGTGCAAAAAGTAAGTCTTTGGAATGAATTTTCTTTTTGAATCTCACAAAAACACATTAAGACCTACTTGCTTGTAAATATGCAAATATTATTCTCACTGAACTAGGTTGGTGAAATATGCTGTCATTGCCCATTTTAATACGTTTTGACAATTTCCTTGAATTCTTCATGTGGCAAATAAAACTTGAATATACTCAGTATTATGCAGATATCTTACTGTTTAAAATATCTATACTGTTTTTTCCAGCATGTTGGATCAGTTGCCGGCTGAAATAATCTGCCTGATTCTTGACTTTCTCAAAATAGAAGACCTCATTAAAGTTAGCAAGATAAACCAGCAATTCAAAACCATCATATCAAAATACCCTAACATAGGGTGGAAAAACATTTTTGTTCCTGAAACTATTGACAACGAAGAATTCGTAACTTTGTGTGAACATTCAAAGCAATTTGAAGAATTTATTGTTAGTGGAGCAGTGGAACTAATGTTAATGTCACCAGAAGCTGACTTTTTCATATTTTCTGCCCTACAGTATAGCATTAATCTTCATATCCTTCAATTGGATGGGACAACAATATCGACACTGACATTCTTAAGATTCCTTCCCAATCTTGAGGTATTGTCGCTTTCCTATTGTCTTAATCTGGTATCAGAGGACATTATAGCACTACAATGGTGCCACAAGATAGAGCAGTTGTATGTTTCACATACTGCAATTGATGCATTAGAATTGACGACAGTGTGCATGAAGGAAAAGTTCCCCAATTTATTCAGCGTGGAGGCACAGGGGATAGAGTTTACATATCTTCAAATCTGCCAACTACTAAATGCTGTAGTGAAACTTTCCTATTTTGGTTTGTCGCTTTTCCCAACCCTCCCTCTGAGAACCTTCAACTTGGCATTCAAAAACAGGTTAGTAATATATCATTGTCAACCAGAAGTTTTAATTCGATAGCGTAAAGACTGTATTTGTTTTAATCTTCATAGCTTGTTTCTCAATAGCAACACAAGAATCATGACAATTTTTGATTAATTTGTTAAAACCAGTGTCACCAAAATTAAAGACTCTAAACAGTGATCAAAAGGGTACCTACCGTTGCAAAACAGGGGAGTGTAACAAATTGTCACCAAACTGGTGTAATTACAAAAAGGTATTGATTTGTTACAGACATTGACAATACTAACCTCAGCGGTGTCTAAAGATTCCATAACATACATAAAGTCATGAAAGTAACAATATGTTCAAAAAATGTAATCACACAAAACATATAGCATTTGGACATATTGTTGGGATAATCTGTATCTATTGTTACAAACGATGATGTAGTAAATTGCTTTTTACTTGCAGGTACACAGATATTGTCTGGACAATTGTTTAACATGTTATATCAACGGCTCAAAGAGGCTAAAGTGTCTTGAATATTATACTGATAGAAGATACTGATGTTCTGAGACAGTGACGAAATGGAAGAGGAAACAGAAACATACAGTGACTTTGTTTTCCTCGTGAATACATCATTAGAAACTGTATCAGATAGTAATTATTTTAACACAGACATGTATGATCATAACATTTACAATGACCTTGACATCAACAATAATAATAGCAAGGATATTAGTTGTGATGCCTCTGAAAAAGAGTTGTATGGTGACAAGGGTATTAGTCACCTAAACATGAATACATATGATGTAAATGGTAGTGTTGATTTCAGCAATGGCAACGAAGCATCTCATGGTCCAAACCCAAATTGTACATCAAACAGCAAGGATTGTACTTTTTATGCCACTGAAAAAGAATTGCATGTTGATAAGGGTATTAGTCACCTAAACATGAATACATATGATGTAAATGGTAGTGTTGATTTCAGCAATGGCAACGAAGCATCTCATGGTCCAAACCCAAATTGTACATCAAACAGCAAGGATTGTACTTTTTATGCCACTGAAAAAGAGTTGTATGTTGACAAGGGTATTAGTCACCTAAACATGAATACATATGATGTAAATGGTAGTGTTGATTTCAGCAATGGCAACGAAGCATCTCATGGTCCAAACCCAAATTGTACATCAAACAGCAAGGATTGTACTTTTTATGCCACTGAAAAAGAATTGCATGTTGATAAGGGTATTAGTAATCTTAGTACAAATGCATCTGATGTTAATGCTAATGTTGATTTCACTAATGCCAAAGAAACATGTAATGGTTGTAACTCAAATTGTGCATTGTCAAACAGCAAAGATAGTACTTGTGATACTACTGAAAAAGAGTTGAATGTTGATAAGGGTATTAGTCATCCTAATGTGAATACATTATCATCATCATGTGGTAATGTAGCAGATAACTTACAGAAGCCTAAAAAGCGAAAAAGTGATCCCACAAATTGGAAATGCAATGTTAGGAAACGACTGAGAGAATCTGGAAAACAATACATTGATTATAAAGGTAGGAACATAGAGGAAAGAAGCATAAAGAACAGAAAGGACTGTCAAATAAAATGCAAATATAATTGTGCTGCCAATATCAATGAGACTGACAGAAAAAAAGTAGCAGCACAATTTTGGCAACTGAGTTCACAAGAAAAATTGATGTTTTACAGCAAATCAACTAGAAGATTACTAAAGGAGGTGAAACGTACAAAGAAAAAGGAATCAAGACGTAAATATTCATACAAGTACTTCATTACTGTAAATGAGAGTACAATAAGAGTATGTAAACAGTTCTTCCTAGATACATTTGATATATCCCAACAAAGGATAAACTATTTTTATAGCAAACTGAGAAATGAAGGAGGGACAGGAGTACCTAAGAAGAAGTATAAAAATGTCAAAGCACATAACAAGTACTCTGATGATTCAATAGACAAAGTGGTAGAACACATAAATAGCTTTCCCAGAATTGAGAGTCATTATTGCAGAGAGGAGACAGCACGAGAATACTTGGACCCCTTCCTTAGCATAAAAAGGATGCATGATTTATATCTAGAAGATTTTGATAGAACATATGGTGAACCAGTGCAGTATCACAAATATGCTGAGGTGTTTAATACTCAGTTCAACATTTCATTCCAAATGCCAAAGAAAGATAGATGCGACATTTGTGAAATACACAAACTACAACAAATCTCTACTGACTATACTGACAACAGATATTTGTTACATGAGGCAAGAAAGCATGAAAGTAAAATAGAGCGAGATGAAGATAGAAATTGTTCCCTTGGAGATAAGGAAGGTGTGTTATGTTTTGATATGGAGAAGACTATTTTGTTACCCAAAGCTGAAATATCAAGTTTTTACTACAAGCGGAAACTAAATACTTACAATTTAACATCACACTTGAAAACTAGAAAGGGACAAACCATTTCTTGTGCAGTTTGGGACGAGGGAAACGGAGGAAGGGATGCAAATGATGTAGCCCATGCTTGTACCAGAATCATAACTACCACAAAAGAAGAAAATCCAAATTTAGAAAAACTAATAATGTGGAGTGATTCTTGTGTGCCGCAGAACAGAAACTCCGCAATGACGATTGCACAAAAAGATACTATGATAAAGGAGGACATATCAGAAATTATACACAAATTCAGTTCTCCATGCCACACTCAAATTCAGGAAGTTGACAGTGCTCACAGTAATATCGAAAGAGAGCTGAGAAGACATGAAATATTTAGCCCAGAATCTCTTCATACCGATGTGATAAAACACGCAAGTAGAACAAATCCTTTCAAAGTAATTGATGTTGGTACAGAATATATGCTAGATTATAAGAAAGCAGCAAAGGAGAACTTTCAGATGTCAGCAATTCCGTACACAAAGGTATGCCAATTACGGTATACAAGAGATCGCCCATATCATGTGCATTACAAAACATCCTTTAGAGATGAAAAGGAAATAACTGTATGTATAATACCACAAACTCGGACCACAGAGACACCAACAAAGAGAAGAAAATGGCCATGCATTTCCAAAATAAAAAGAAGCACAAATGTCAGTGTTGAAAAAAGAAATGATTTAAAGAGCATGCTACAATTTATGCCTGATAAAGACAGAAAGGCCATGAAAGAAGTGATAGCAAGATCTGCAGAAAAATTTAAAAGTAAGAAGAAGATTGAAAACCCAAGCACAAATGAAAGGAAAATGAGCAGACAGCTTGGGATGGACAAGCACAGCGCTTCCAAGAAACTTTGCAGCAAAAGGGGGAGTAGCAGAGAAAACAAACAAAAGAAAAGGACAAAAAGGAGCTGCGTAGAGAGTGTAAAAAAGATGGGAAATTCAACAGAACAATCTAAAAGTAAGAAAAACAATGCAAACTCAAGCACAAATAAAAGGAAAGGGAGCAGACATCTTGGGATGGAAAAGCACAGCACTTCCAAGGAACCTTGCAGCAAAAGGGGGAGTAGCAGAGAAAACAAACAAAATTAAAAAAAGAGTGTAGAAAGATGAGTGATTTAACAGAACTGAACGTACCACACAGAGATTTTGATCTTAAAACATAGAATGACATCTACAAGAAGAATTAACTTGTAATTTACTTAATTTTTTTTATAAAAAATTACTTGTACAACATAGTGTTAATTAAGTGTGATATAACGTACCAAAAGAGATCTTTAACTTAGGACATAAAATGAAAACAACAAAAAAATTACTTGTAATTTACTTAATTTAAAAAAACTTTACTTGTAAGACATAAAAATGACATAGCTGGAGTAGTTGATGAAGTCTCAGATATTGATAATGATATCTTAAAGTCTTCTAATTAATGATATCTTTTATTTTTCAACATTAAGTCTAATATCTATATGTGTTTTTTTCTCAGAGTACTGTTTATTTTGTATTTTAGATTGTAATTTTACGTAACTGTGGGAACGAAATTATTGATAAAAGTAAAAGTAGGAAAAAGTTACAAGAAAAAACAATGAAAACTCAAGCATAAATGAAAGGAAAATGAGCAAACAGCTTGGGATGGACAATCGCGTCAAAGGAACTTTGCAGCAAACGAGGGAGTAGCAGAGAAAACAAAAAAGTAAAAGACAAAAGAGGCTGCAAAGAAAGTGTAGAAAAATTAGTGATTTAATAGAAATGAATGTACCAAACAGAGATGTTTAACTTAGAACATAAAATGACAACTACAAGAAGACATAATTTTAATTTAGTGTGATAATATAAGTAACTGAGCAATAAAAATGACAAGTTACTGATGTAATTGATGATGTCCCAGATAATGATATTTTATATATAAAATGATATCTTTTATTTTTGTATTTTAGATTGTAATTTTACATTGTCTGGACCAAATTATGGTGCCATAAAATAAAAGTAAATAAATATAAAAACCAAACTGTTCAAATTGTGTAATTGTTCTATCTCAATTCACATTTGTCCTAAGTCAGCTTTTCTAAAAAAAAATGACTCAAATTGTTCTATCTCCACTTGTCATGTTTTTAAAAAACATACTTAAACTAATCAAATAAACCCCATTTTTTGCAATATCAGAGATCATATTAATATAAATCAGTTGTAGAAACATCAAAAAGCTGGGTTTCATACAAAAAAAGTTATTAAGTATCAAACTTTAAAACTTGATTTCCCAAAAGTCATGTTTTTTGAAATAGAACACTTTGGCTCTTGAACAGCGACATGCAAAAAGGTTCTATTTACAAAAATGAGTGTAATTAAAAAAACCATTAATGGGAAAGCTTAACTATAAGTTGTACAGATAGACCTTATCCTGAGTAATGTTATCCTTGAATATCAATGAAATTGAGATGAACCCTGATTTATGAGAATGTTTCAAATTTTTAAAGTTGATTTTCTCAAAAGTAACATTTTGTGAGATAGAACCTTTTTGCATGAAACCCTCGACTTAATAATGAGTTTTTTTTTACATTTCACGTTCTTAATGAGTTAAAGGAAGTTATTCTCCCTTTGCTTTAGAGATAAATAGTCACATGAATTTGTTAAAAAAAATTATAACTTAATTTAACCCCCTCCTGACAGCCCCCATATTTGAAGATTTTGGTGAAACCTGGCAAAATACATTAATTATTAGGTTCCAGAAGCCCCCAGAAGCTATATGATGGCCCCCAGTGGCCCCAAAAATCTATACAGGGGCCCCAAGTGGCCCCCAGAAGGTATATGATGGCCCCCAGAAGCTATACAAGGGCCCACAGAAACTATACTGTGGTCTCCAGAAGCTATATGGTGGCCCCTCAGTGGCCCTCAGAAGCTATATGATGGCCCCCAGAAGCTAATTAGTGGCCCCCAGGAGCTATATGGTGGCACCCAGAAGCTATACAGGGAACCCCAGTGGCCCCAAGAAGCTATACGATGGCCCCCAGAAGCTATACAGTAGCCCCCAGAAGCTACACGATGGCCCCCAGAA